ACTTTATATTTTATGGCACACACCCAGAAAGGAGAAAGGTGATTTATTAGTTTCTGATTCAAATATTATTCCCTTGCCAGTTTTTGCCTTGACCTATATCGGCCCACGACGCTACCGCAATTGATAAGGACATATATGGTCATGATGAAAATGAAACATTGAAACGCGTCGGAGAAGCCCGTAGAGTTGGAATATCTTAATTATACATTTATAACTGAGCTAACCGCGACAAAATGATATTTGAAATAGTTCTATATATTATAATCATCTATAATTTCCCTTTATTGTTGCTATGGTAAAGCTTTACGACATGGAATACCGGTGTGAGATCGTTCTCCATGCCAGTGAATATCACACTCGCAGACCGGCACGCGAGAGAACGGTTTGCCCACACGTGTTCCTGAGGCCAGAAGACCAGGCGGTGTAAGTCTACGGGACGAAGCACCCACATTTCACACCAACACTCCCGTGAAATACAAATAAACAAATACATGGTGGTGTAGCACCATTTATATAAGATATATAATTACATACAGATCATTACCGTGTATTTCACGACTTTACATTGTTATATGCTAGCTTGTGTTTTTATTGACAGATTTTAATGAGATTTTTAACTGAGGTATGTCTTAGCCTAACTTAGGTGCCATAGTATTTTGGTGGTGATCTGGATCATGATCCGGATCCATGAACTTTTTATTTATTTATTAAATACAAAAAGTTATGGACAGACTTTAATTAGATTTTTCTTTCACCAGAGGTGTCTTCGCCTTAGTATTATATTTTGGTGGTGATCCGTATCATTTGGCAAACCTATCCCCAGTTTTGGGGGGACTGTGCAATGTGATCCAAACATAAATAAAATAAGATACTCTATATTAACGGTATTAATTTTTTCTTGATTTGTACATTTTTTAATGCTTCCCAGATATTTAAAATCATTCAGAAAAAATGCAGGTTGGTCTCATATGTGACATTCTATAAACTTTCTGAAAATAATTCAATTTATTAATCATATCTAATCGTTACGTCACAATTGCCAATTAAAAAAAAATGTAAGTAAATCAGTATTTTGGTGGACATCGACCCCTTAAAAATTTGAAAATGCAAGTTGGAAGAGTTTGGCCCAAAAAAATTATAGATCCCCTCGGTTCAACCAATGTTAAATACAGGTAAAACATGAACCAACCTTCAGGATGGTTTACATATATTTCATGATGAACATCAGCATTTAAGTAAGCTGTTATAAAAACATTTGGTGCTTCACCGTGTTTTTCTGTACAGCCACATCCAACAAAGAATGAAGTGTAGACATTGTTGCTGTTGGTGCAAAAGTCTCCATAGCCGATGTCCTTCATCTGTAAATATGCTTGGCGAAATACCTATACTTATTTTTTTCTGCCAGATTAATGACGATCACCCTTAAATCTATCGCGAAGATGATTAAAGCCGCTTACAACAAACGGGTGTTTTGCTAAGGCCCTCTTTTTTCCTGCTATGCTTAATGGGAAGGTCACATACTTTTTCATTGATACAGGAAGTCTCGTGAATGGGCTCTCGTCTGAGGTATCGCCAGCCAACATTTGTGTTAGAGGCGTGGCAGGATGTAAGCTAGGTGTAGTTAGGACTACGTATGTAACATTGAGGTTTGGAAATATCGTTTTTCCTCATCAGTTCGTCGTAGTCAAGGATTAACATAGCTTCCCCGGCAGCTTGCTTCTCCGTTATGATTTTCTATATGGCTTTATAACCACAGCAGAATGAGGTAGAATTTCACGGTCAGATATCTAGATCCATCTGGAAGCATCTGGACCCTTTTCACCCTAGCATGCTTGATTCCGCATCTGACACAAACATCAACACGTCTCGTGGATTCTCTCATCTATCAAACACGACCACGTGCACGGACACATCATTGCCCTTCCCTCCTCCTCCTTTAACCCTACCCCTCTCCCTCCCCTGTCTCTCCTCCACAACTACCTTCTCCCCCTGTCTCTCTTCCACCTCCCCCACATTCTGTGACTTCCACTATTCATTCTAGATATTCTTTCTATCCTGGAATTCCTTCCACTCAGCATGCTACAGACGCCTCACGCACGAACATTACCACATCATCTAGTTCATCAAACTATCACACGTGGGTTGACAACCATGGTTTGGCGCACTTAGTCGCGCGGGAGTCTGTAGTGATACCGTTTTCCTTTATGTTCTGGTTGATGTGACAGCCTCGGCAAGTAATGATGGTAGATTTTTGCTCCTCCCTGAAAATTGTCGAGTAAAAGGTACATGTTCTCCCCTCTCTGTATCCTTCGCGGGATGGAAGTGCACAAGTTCATGTTGGTGTAAGGCTAATAGATTGTTTAGTCACGGATCTCCCGATAGCTGAATTTGAGCTTCCCACATCAGCTTCTCTGGCATTGTTTCTTCTACTTTTCAGCTACTCCACCGATTCAGCTGACCCGTTCCCTGCAGTATTAGCAAAGGCTATGCAGGGAACATTCGCATTACCAACATTTTACCGACCAAGGACGGTCCGTTAAGCAGAACGCACGTGGTTGAATCCTTTAACACTCAAGAGGCTGGTAAGCCTGTGTATACTTCGGCATACAAAATCGCGCACAGCAAGCGTCAGATTCTAGTGGACATGAATCCCGTGAAGCAGCGCATTGTGGTATTCGTGAGGCTGTGCAATTGATGCGATTTTATTTTCCTCGGTTAGTAGACAAGAAGGGAAACGCGTCAGGATTTACAAGATGCGCCATTTGTATAAAGGCCACACAAGTGATCTTGACTTTGTCGAGTTTCACCACATCACAAACAAACACATCCGTGTTTTCATGGACAATTTTTCTCGCTATTGTGAGTTGGTAGCGGTATCATCAAAGGCTGCAGTGCACGCTACGAAAGCATTCAATGACGTAAATTGTTGCCGCCACGGCTGGCCACAATATTGATGCTCGGATAATGGTACCGAGTTTATAAATCAGGTATTAGCCGGTTTTGCACAGCAGCTGATTGTGACGCAGGTAAACGTTTTGCCCGCAGGCTAATGGCGTTATGGAACGTTTAAATAGATCTATTCTTGCAATTCTGCGTCAATTACTGCACGACCTCAAGGACGATTGGGACGCTCTTCTGCCCGCTGTCCAGTTGGCCATCAATTCTACCTTTCCCTCTTCCTTGGGCGATAGCACTATCTTTTCACGGGGCAAGACAAGCAGTTGCCATACGAACTATGCTAATTATTTGGTTCTCGGCAACAGCAAGCATATCAGAAAGCAAATGCGCTCCTGCTCAGGTCACGTAATAGGATAATTGAGTACTAGGATAGAATCGCTTGTGCTATCAACTTTATCCTCAAGGCCGGATGGTTCCCTCTTTCACACCTCCTTCAGTGGACGCACGTGTTAACTGTTTTCTCTTTTTACACATTCTCCTAAGCAAGCAAAACGCCCTCACAAGGAATAGGTGCATAAAAGGACGTCTCGCCAGACAGCAGAGGAGAACAAGAGGCAGATGCAGAACAGAGCAGGGAGAGACAGAGACAGACGACAGTCTAACTTGTCGCTGCCACGCCCTCTGCACCCGAAGTATGGGCCTCTCACGGAGTCTACGCTCTACACCCTAACCTTATTACACTTGCAAAGAATATCCGGATCATTGCGTTGGTATTTAAGAAAGATCATGTGCACAGTACTATTCTGTCTAAGCTTAGTCAGATATGGATGGTATTGCTGCTGATAGTTGGCATTATTATAAATATTAGGTAGTAACAATAGAAATTACTTTGATTAAAAATAATAATGAAAAAGATGATGACTATTGCTGCACCAAGAATGCTGCTGTTGCTGATGATGGTGATGGTGGTGGTGGTAAAATTGTTATGTTATGATTATGATTATGAAGATGCTGATGGCGATGACGATGATGTTATGATGATGAAGACGATCATCACAGTAATAATTGAAATCTTAATGTTTATAATAATAGTGATAATAATCAGAATTAATGATGATAATATTAATGATAAAAAAATGATGATAATGATAATAATAATAATAGTAAAATTAAAACAATAAGGATGATGATAACATTAATAATAATAATGGCAATAATAATAATGACAATGATAATAATATTGATGATATGAATAATGATGATAGTATGATAATAGTTAATAATATGATAGTATTTAATAATATGATAATAATATTAATAACGGCAATAATGATAATCAATAATAATCATGCTAATAGTAATATTTAATAATAATAAGGAAAATAATGAGTTATAATCATAAAAGCAATAATTATTATGACGATGATAAAAACATTATTAATAATAATAATGACAATGGTAACAATAATAACCATTAACATAATGAATATTATAATGATTAGAATAATAACTAATAACAATATAAGAATAAGCACAAAACAATAACTGTGATGATTAATATAGTAAAATAATAATTGAGGCGAAACTGACGGTGATACAGACTTATACGCTATTACATTTTTCTTCATGGTGATAGTTATGATGATTTTCTGATCATTGACAGAGATTAAATCCCTGTTATCAACGCCATCTTTATCGATAGTATTAACATTATTAAAATCATGACGATATAACCATTACCATATGGCAGTGAACTTGTTTTCATCATTTAAATGATATAGATGACAAGGCAATGATACTTACACATATATAATTAAGGAACACCGCAGCGAAAACCAAATCTCAACGGTCATTCTCACAATTGTTTACGCATAACTTTGCTGAATAAAATAACTCCTGGTTGCCATGACAACCAGTGTCACAATGTAAACAAAAACGTCATTGCTGTCGGACGTACGATTTATATTACAAAGCCAGACTATATCGCTACTTAACTGAAGGGGGTTTATTAGAAATACATTTAATAGTTATAAATGTATGTATCAAATATTAGAAAATATGGGTAAAGGGAAGTTCAAGTACATATTTTTTTCCATGTAGAC